CTCTCCCTTCTGTTTTTCTCACACCTTCCTTCTACCTCTCCAGTCATCGTTGTATCTTTGGGATCTCCTGAAGTAAGTTTCTTTGCTAACATGCCCCTGCAATGCTGTTTCATCATCCATCATCCTTAGTTCTCTGCCTGACTTTCCCCTTTCCCTCTGCTTATTTCAGCCACGCTGCATCTTCAGGATCCTTCTGTTTCTCTGTGCGCAGTTGTGCTTCTCTGCCTCAGATGTGTTTTACTGCAACTTCTTGCCTGGCTGTTATCTTAATTTTTTAAGCAAGGCTATGTGATAAATTCTGACTATTTTAAGCAAAATAAGGTTTAGCATATTTGCCATTTTTGGGGATGTTCTCATAAAAATGTGCAAAACAGTCCCTTATCCTCTGCATGTGTTCATCCATCTTGAAAACTGATACAGCATGCAGGTGAGAGTGAAAAGTGTTAAGAGTGCTGCTAATTGCCACCCAAGGTGCAGGACCTGCCTTGGTGCTGTGCGCCGCAGGAAGCTCCTTTATCTGCCCTCTGAGGTGTGCTCATCTTCCCTTCCCTAAAACCACCTTCCCTCCAAGCAGGTATCTTGCTGATCTACAGGTACTTCAGCACTGCCACATTAGTTTCTTACAGTCCGAGACTTGGAAGTGGTCCTGCCACAGGCATTTGGGAGAAATCCGTACAGTGACAGTCGTCTTGACATTTCAAGTGGTGCCGTGGACTAGTAACCATGTTCTTGGTACCCATGTATGCACCTTTAGCAAATGGGTATTCAGATATTTCCCTCTCGTTGTGCATGAACTTAAAATACTTCTTCCAATTTGAAGCGTTTCCTTAATCCCAGTGGTCTCCTAGGTTGTGAAAATACCAAATGTACTCAAAAAGGGGAGAAATTTTAAAAATTCTGTTAGCTTCATATTTTTGTCTGATCTCTATTCATAGGGCATCTGAGCACCTCTGTCAGCACAAGGGCTTTGGGATGGGGTTTTTGTTATTAATATGACTGTAAAAGAGCTTTCTTGTGTGGTTCAGAGGGAAAGGAGCAATTACCAGCAGGTGATTTATGCAGTAATCTGTCATCTTCAGCACTTATGAATAACCTTATCCATGTTTTACAAATGCAGTGTTACTCTGGTTTTTAATCTCTCTCCTTATTGTGTTCCGGTCACAAGATACTTTAGCAAATGTAACTTTTTGGGAGGTTAGATTTAAATGACAGATTGAAATAGATTTTTCTGACAAGCTAATCCTGTGTTGAAATGCTTCATAAATTTTTATTGGAACTCAGTTTTGACAAGTTAACTTTTACCTAAAATCTAATGATAGCTAGGAGAACTTGGAATAAATAAATGGAATTGTTTGTTCCTTCAAAATAAAAAATGAAGCATTTACTACTTAAGTCTTGTGTAAATTAATAATCTTTCCCATGCTGTAAATTTCAGCCCCTAATGAGGTATCTCTCAGTGAAGAACAGAGTGAACTTTAAGTGAAAAATCCATGTTGTTCCTGTTGAGGGACAATTGGAAACGTGATGAAGGCAGATGGCAGGCTATTTGGTTACACCTGTAATCTGCAAAAGCTTGAACAAAAATTAGGTGAAGAATATTTTTGTAATTGACCTTTCAGTGAACTTGCAAAAATTTTTTTCACTTACTCAGTGAATGTTTGTGACCTTTCTATTTGGATTGCTAGATTAACCTATACTGAAATATTATGCCATTTATAGGGTTAATGCATTTGAGAAGGACATGCATGTGATTGCCCCCTTCTCTCCCCTCCTCCCCATTTTTAACACTACAGAGCATCATTTTGAATTGAAATAGTCCATAATGGTCCTTTTTTTCACTTTTCTTTAACAACATGAACAGTAAATTATAGCTGTGCAATTATGTAAACAATGGAAATGCTTCCAGAATGAATACTTCCTTTTAAATTTTCATTTTGTGTAATTGCTGAAAGGTTTGGAACCATAATAAACTAAAATTATTTTACACATTTATCGTTCTAAAGGTCAATTATGAAAGAAGTAAAGAAACAACACTGTACAGAATGAGTAAACCAATTTCTATTGCCATCACCATATGTTTTTCTTATTGCTTGTGTTTTTCCAGTTACTGTGTACATAGCATTCAATTAAAGTGATTCATTTACTAGGCTGTAAGCTGCTGAACAGAGTTTACATTTATAGAACAGCGCTTTGAAGGGAAGGAAACAACTTGCCTCTGTTTGAATTACCTGATTTTTGCAATATCACTGATAGGACATATGTTCTCACTTGGTCGCTTTCTCATAAGCCCAAATCTTCTGATAAGCTCACAATGCTACTGAATTACTGCGTGAAATCACGCATTTATTGTTAGCTGGGTTATGCATGAAAGTGTGCTAATTGGGAAATGGGAGAAAAACTGTAAAATTTTACCTGTAAGCACCTTCCCGGGGTGTGGTTTCTTTCCTGTCCTTTTTGTCCAGGGTAAGCTCAAGTAGAACAGTATTATAGACAGGACATATTCTGCCTTGTATTAACTGAAATTAAGTCACCGAACCGATCACAAATTAATACTGAAATGCCTGAGATGAAAAATGACAGTGGGAACTAAATGGAAAGCTAGGCTGGAAGTGTTTTTGTTTGGGCTCTTACGCACTTGTACATTGCTCACTTTTGACAAAGTTCTGTGTGTAGTATCACTGCAGCATGTGGTCTGTGCTGTGGATTCATCATTTTGAAGCTACACAACAAAAAAGAGGAAGAGTGTTTCATTAGCTTTTCAAAATAAAATTATCAAAAGTTTCTTACTATGAAAAAATGTGTATTTTATTTTCTTTTTAGTGCTGGTACATCTCAAATAGCAAGTAGATCCATGCAGCCACATTCTTGCAGCTTTTTGGAATGTGTGTGTTGTCACAGCATTTGTTAAAGTTGAATTAGTTACGCTGTGCTGTAAAATCACAGGTATTAATGTATTAATGGTTTTGCAATTATATTTTTATTCTCATTTTCTAAGTGTTCTATGCAATGATGGTAGTTCAGAGCTGGTGAAGCTGGGTGATCGTTACAGTGGTATTTAACAGATGGGATTGATGGAGTGAGGACAGGACTTAACGCAGTTGTTTGTAGCAGGTCTTTGTACTTCCGACGTTCTGTTACCTTTCAGGCCAGGTTAGCACAGGCTCTTTTATTGTGGCATATGTCAACAGAAGTGTACTCCCATCTGCTGCTCTATCGTTTGATGCCCAATTATTCAGAGACCAAACACATCACAGTACCTGGCTCTGTTCATAATTACAGGTGCGTTGTGTTGTGAGGAGCCCGGTGCATTAATCAGACCCTTAATTAGAAAAAGGTGGGTCTTTTGTTCTGCTCGGAGTGTGAGCTTACCACCCACTTTATAAGCTGCTGCATCCATCTGCTCCCTCTCTTTGAATGTTTGCATTGACTGATATTGACTTTAAAATGTATCAAAGGAAGTGATTAAAACTAGTTTAAACATTAACTGGAGTGGCATTTTAGCTTATTCAGGAAAGTGAAAGCATTATCTGCTACTATGTTAAAAACGAATATTATTTATTTAAAATATATAACACAGTTATTTCATAGGAAGTTACTTTTGGAAATACGTAGCAGAACCCTAAACAGGATCTGTCCAGGTGTTCAGCAGTGGTTTGAGAAAATACTATCTGGTGTTAAAGCATATCTTCATATAGAGAGAAATGAGTTTGACTGCTTTAGCTTCTGATATAGAAATTGAACATATGGACACATTCTGGGACTAAATTTAAGTTCAAGCCTTCTTTAACACATCATAAAACCGGTAAAGATGGACATGGAAAATGGTTTTCCTTTGCAACTCTTCTTTGAAATTTTACTGAGACCAAAAATAATCTTCTACTCTGTAGAAATAGGTTTATCTAATTCTTCAGCAAATATAATGTTGCAGGTAAGGATTATATAGATTTTGCACCTAATTTTAAACCTGCTGAAATCTTGTAGGAAAGAAATCTTAACTCAAATACAGGAACTTTGCTCTGATATGGAGAGATGGTGAAGAATTGAAATGTGGAAGGAAGAAGGTTGAAATGCTTATCCTGAATGTGTTCTGTGTCACAGGGTGATGATGAGAGCAAAGCTGTGGTTGGTGGTCTATTCTTACACATACAGTGCTACCTCTTAAAAAAACCAAAACAAAACAAAAAAACCCCTCTGTTTCTTCAGAAGTTCAGGAAAACTCTCTTCTCCCCAAGGTTTATCGATATTGGCTGTCTTAATTATTTGGAAGAAGAGTGTCTTAGAATAATCTAGTTAGCATAGATTTATCTGTGTTGCCATGCTATGTTTGATCACTTCTTGCATTTGACATTTGCTGTATTTCTCAACGAGTCCAGAGGAGCTAAAAAATCCCGTATGTGCTGGAGCAGCCTAACAGTAGTGATCTGCCTGCTGCCAGCTACTGCCTTGAACTCCTTCAGGGCAAAGGCATCAGTCATTTGTGTCTTCTCATGTTTTTATGGCTACAGAATTTTGAGTAATGTGATTTTTAGGCAATACTTCATTTAGAGTGGTGTAATGTTTCATGCTTAAATTGACTAATGGTTTAAGTATTTTGAATCCAAAGTCTTATTTAACAGGAGAGCAGTTATGCTTAGATACGAGGAGGCATGGCTATTTGTTCTTTGGTTGTTTTTTTTCCTTTTTTTTAAACAGGAATGTAAGAGTACAAATTTCACTGAAATACAAAATGCATTTTTCCTACTAAATGCATCTGCAGCAGAAAGTAGTGGCTGTTAGGTGACTATCAGTTATACAGAGCTGTGTGGCTCTCTCGGTTATCACCTTGATTAGTGTGCAACTGGTGAATTGCAAAGTTAAATCCTTCTCAAACTGTCCCCTTTGGTTTTGATCTTTTCGGTGTTTTGTTTTGGTGTTTTTGGGGTTGGTGTTTTGTTTTGTTTTTTTTGTTTGGTTGGTTTTTTTTCGCTTATTTCTTCTCAAACAGGTAACTTCTCTTTCAGGATATCTTACATACTGTCATAAAGCACTGCCCACCTTGGTTTTTCTTCCTGGGTTTACCTGGCTTTACGATGCTGATAGGAGACTTCATTACAGCAGCAGCCAGGGTCCTGAGCACAGACATGCTGGAGGTGAGTATGGCAATGCCCAGGGCCCCTGTCCCCCAAGAGCGTGTGCTGGCTAACGAGGTTCGGATGTCTCCACTCTAACAGGTGTTGACTCATTAGCACAATGCGAAATGGGGCTCTTGGGGCAGATACCATGGCAGCTGATGTGTGAAATTGTGGGATAAGGTGACATACTAGTATTGCCAAGGTGTTTCATCAAAAGGCCAAAGTGTGAGAAATTGTATCCTCGCTAATATTGCAGCACGACTGTGTCTAAAAGCAGGACTTGGATTTCAGAATCTCATTAGCTTTTTTCAGTGAGCAAATATTGAAAATATGGAGCTCTTTTGGTAATACAGAATTTTTTACTAAATATCAACACTAATAGGAATGTGCCTCTAAAGGATTAAATTAGTGAGGGATAGGTAAAACAGTAAATCAGTGATGGGATGCCAAAATAAGGATAAAGGTCTGGCAATCCTGGGAAAACCAGGCCAGCTTTGTTAGACATGAACCACCAGTTCAGGGGAGACAGTTCTGTCTGTTTTGGCCAAGTGCTATTACTGCTGCTCTTGACATTTTTGCAGCAGAGCGGATGACCCTGCACAGGGACAGAGCCCTCTTGTATTTCAGCAAAACTGAAATGGTGAGCCTAGCCACGTTCTTTCCATTGTCCCTCAAAGAGTTTACAGCCATTAATTTTCTGACATCTCTTTAAAAAAATCTGATCAGCCCGGTCATTGATCCAATGCTTAAAGTGCTAATAAGAAATGAATACTCAACTTTCCATGGATAAATAACCCCAAAACAAACCAACACCACCTTCCATTTCTCTTAAAAGTATAAAACTTAGCCTGCATTGCATTTTGAACATTACACAAGATTATATAGCAGTAGTTAATGCTTTTATAGCCTCATGCCATGTTGCTTTTGATAGTTTTATTGCAGTAGGAATCTCTCTACACATTTTTACTATGTATACAGTCAGTTTGAGTGCATTGTGCTGTCCTTTGTGTCACGTGATCAGCTAACAGTAGTGCTGCATTAGTGCTTAAAACTTTCAGCTTTTCTTTAGGTTGTTCTGTATATTTTATTGGCACTGAATTGCTGAGGAGGTATTAAAACTGTAGAATGTGCTTAGGAGTGGGGCCAGGTCCCTGCTGGGGGAGAAAAAGAGCAGAGCAGCACAGCACCAAAAAGCACGGGCAGGTAACTGTGTGTTAGTCACTGCTTTAATGCAGTTCTTGCTGTAGTTGTAAAGAAAAAGCTATCGGGACATGTTCCTTAGGACCCTTTAAATGTTGCATTGTGAATATGGCACACTTAGTATCTATAGTGATATACATTAGCCTCAAAGCTTATGTCATTTTCATAACTTCATGAAGTTTTTATCAATGTTTTTGTTTACTTTTCCTTCATTAGGCTCCCCGTTCAGAAGCTCACACCATCCTTGGTTCTCTTGTTTGCTTTCCAAATATCTACCAAGAAATCCCACTATTGCGGCCCATTTCAGAAGCCGGCGAGATCATCGCGGGGACTGCAGATGTGAAGGTAAAGTCACATTTCATTAGTCAATCCTTAGGTAAGCTAACATTTTTACTATTCAGTCACTTCATTCTAACTGTATGCTTTTGTTTAAAAAATAAACACCTCCTTCTCCCCAAAACCCCACATCTGCAGACATTCTATGTACTTATTTGATAAGCATTGCTTTGTTTAACATGTACCATAAAATTAACAAACCTTAGATACTGCAAATTACATTTTATTTTCAAGGAGAGTGAACTGGCAATGATCAAATGCAATGTTTTCCAGCCAGATGCCTGTCAGGTCAATTCATTAAATGATGTTGCTGGTATTATTTAAAGTGTCCGTTTATTGTATCTGTGTATATTAGCTTGTCCTATAAGAGATGAGGGCTGTGCATAAGGGGGGATATTTTTTGCCTTACTGGTATTACAATAATACGTTAAGAAAATTCCACTATTAGAACCATTATCTTATGTGAATGATTTTTCCCTGAGAATTAATTTCAGTGAGACACCTTGAGATGTGAATTGTTTCATGGGATGGAAAGCTTTGTAATTTAATGACCTTCACAATAATAATCTTGTAGGGTTAAAATCACACATACCCTCCCCGAAAGACCCAGCAAAGGTGACCTGGAACATGACTTGCAGTTGAAACCTGCCCAAATGGTTACCCTCACACAAGCCTCCATTGCTTTTCGATAAAACTGATGCACCATGGTGATCCACTGCACAAAGCTAGGTATAGCTGGAGGGGAATATCTGAATTCCTCATGCAGCCCGAGAAAGTAGAACAGGAGAGAATGCAAAACCCTTAGCATGCTTGGTTCCCATTCTTGCTTGCTTCATCAGACCTCAGGGTCATTGGAGGTCTGTTAAAACAGCCTTGATTTTAAAAGTGTCTTTTCTGTACTAAAAAATGCACTACATTTTTCATAACATGGCTTGCTTAGAACCGTAATACCATAGTTTGTATTATCAAGTGTTTACCATTCATCATTAGTAAATACCCATCAACTCTGAAAACTAATTGATTTCCATCTTGCTGCGTGTACATGATTTTTAGGTCAATTTAGATTTATCCACAAGGGCCTGTATATTTGAGTTGTCAGTATTTCTCCCTTGACAAACTAAAATTGACATGAAGTAAAAATGCTTTAAGAATAGACTGAGAATTAAAGTTACTTCACTTGTAACTATGTCAAAATTAAACAACTTTGAATAAAGTGAATGTATGAAAAAGGTGCTTATTCTAATCTATTTTATTATTTTAGTGTTACCTCATAAATATTTTATTGAAGAATGCTACAGAGGAGCCAAGTGAAGTTGCAAGGTAAAATACTGAGTAAAAGAAATGGGAAAATGGGAAGGTCTTTCTTGCTACTTACTTTTGGTGCTTGTACAGCTGAGTTGTTACTATTGCCTTGTGGTTTGATCCTGTCTAGATGAGTTTTTCACTTTAGCCCTACTAAGATGAGGTCCAGTGTGTGCCGTGAAGGTGTTGACCTGTTGTATGAGGGGAAAGAGAGGTCACATCTGTGCATTTCTTCTTTTTTTTTTTCTCCTTCCTAAATATTCTTCTAAAACTTCTGACAAAAATACTTTTTCTTTTAAAAAAGATGCATAGCCATTTGTGGCCTTGGAGTTTGGATATGTGAAGAACTAACACAGTGCACGAACCATCCCCAAGTGAAGGAAGCAATCAATGTCATAGGTGTGACACTGAAGGTATTACTATGATGGTCTCTAATCAATAGGCCTTGTGTAAAAAAGGTATTTTCATTTTCTTAAATAGTTCCTGATGATACAGAGCGCAGCCTGCTGTTTTGTCTTCTCATTGCTTTAAAGCACTGACAGGATGCTGCTGACACACAGCTGCTCGGGAGTTTTTGCACAGTGTTAGTGATACGACGTTAGCTGTCTTCAAAAAGATGTGTCCCAGTTCTGAACCTTTGCATGCAGATAATAGCTCATTATCTTCAGTGAGCATGATTCAGCATACACGCACAGTTCTTCAGTGTGGCCAAGGTGGTATCCTACACAAAAGTGCAAAATATTTGCAAAATTAGGATGTGATTATATACCTGAAGACCCTTTTCGTAACAGACCAAGTTAAGATCACGTATATAATGTCAAGCCTGCTGTTTCCTAATGCTGACAATGTGATTTTGAAACATCAACATTTTAAAATGTTTGTATAGATGCAAAATAATTTAGAACTTAGAAAAACTGAATGCACTGTATTGTATCTGGATATTTTATTTGGCTTTTAATCACTTTTTCTCTTCCAGTTTTCTAATAAACTGGTAGCTCAGGTAGCCTGTGATGTTCTTCAGCTGCTGGTTTCTTACTGGCAGAAACTTCAGAAGTACGAATCCTCTCTGTCCAGAAAAATTACTGAAGTACGTAAGTTTCTTTAAAATCTTTGTATGGAAATCATATGTGAAGTTGTCTTCATTCCTTACTTGAGCTACTATAACTGTAACTTTGTTAACTTTTTCTTTCTTCTGGGATTATGTTAGGAGATGTACTCGCTGTACTTCTAGAACCAATATACTTCTCTCATTTGTAGTGATTTATTTGCGAAATGCTCAATAAAACTTCTTATTTCACTTGGACATTGATTTACAAGGGCAGTTAGATGCTCCTAACAGAATTTAACCTTTTTCATGCCCTGTTAAAGTGAAGTTTGTGCTCTCTTTATACAGAAAGAAGGTCAATGTCTTTCTGGAATTTTGTTTATTTTAATGTAGATCCTTGTGGCCACTATTGCATTTCTTTTGCCGAGTGCTGAATACTCCTCTGTGGAAGCAGATAAAAAGGTATGTCTCAGAAAAGAGCAGTCTCTGTTCTTTCTTTGTGCTGTTCCAGTCGTTATTAAATGAAGTCCCTTTGGACCAGAGTCATATTTTAAACTTTCAAACTCATAGCTTTAAGTTTGGATTAATTTAATAGAATATACCTAATTACTGTGTTACATGTTTTTGTGTAGTTTATAGTTTCACTGCTGCTTTGCCTGTTGGATTGGTGTATGGCGTTGCCCATGAAAATGCTACTGGAGCCGGTGTCTGCTGGTGTTCTTGAAGATCAACATGCATCCAAAGCTCCTTTACTGGACTATATTTATAGAGTGAGTATGAGGAATGAGCGTGATTTATTGTGTCTAGATGTTTAAAGATGCCTTTCATAGATCCTGTTAGGCACGGAAGCATTTTTAGCAAACTGGAGAAGATCATGAATTCTCGCAGTGTGGGCAGAAGTTGTATGGATGAGAAATTAAGAATGCAAAATGTTAAGATGATAAGATAGGAGATGTAGAACAGAGGATGGTGAAGAGAGGAAGATAAAATGCTTAAAACAACGAGTAGGGGAAAATAATTTTTGCAGAAATATTTAAATCATTTGAAATGGGCTGTTAAAATACAAAATAAGTCCTGAACTGAGTTGTTAAAGCACAAAATAAGTGCTGATGAAGAGCGTTATTTTAAAAATACTGCCTTTAGACATAGATGGTTTTTGTAGCATGTCCTGGCTTCACCATGTAAAAATTACGGTGGGTCCTTCTTACTGAGTGTGTTTCAGGGAGTCCTGAACTGTGCGCTTCATTACTTCCTCAGGGTCGTGCCTGTCTCCTTGCAGGTTCTGCACTGTTGTGTGAACGGCTCCAGCACGTATACTCAGCAAAGCCATTACGTGCTGAGTCTGGCGGATCTCTCCTCCAGTGATTACGACCCGTTTTTGCCACTGGGGAATGTGAAGAGCTCGGAGCCAGCTCAGTGCCACTCCTCCACTGATTTGGGCAACCTGCTCACTGTCGCTGAGGGTAAGAGAGTTCATGGAGTGTGGTGGGGACCAGCACGTCAACATTCAGCAGCTAGGAAATAAAGCTTTCCAGGTTACATCCCTTCCTTAAAAATTTGCTTTTCCTTACTGTACGTAGCAGCTATTTCTTGAAAACTGGGCAGCACCCTTTTTTCATGAACTTCAGTTGCCTCTGTAATGGGATATTTGAGTTTGTTGCTGACAGTACTCTTTATGAAAATCACAGGAGAAAGAGAATTACATAAGGTGTTGTATAGCGAGAACCTTGTGTAGAGAGAGGATAGGTGGAGAAGCTGGTTTTGCCGTTGGCACTACTTACAATTTAGTATATAGAATTAAATTCAACAAATAAGATAAGCCTCAAATCAAACTTCTTTCAGAAGCATGCAGCTGTCCTTGAATTTTTCAGTAGAAATGACTCCGTTGTCAGGTAATTTGCTTGTTCTGAGTGATTTGAAAAGAACACATACAATTTGGACCAAATTCTACAGCTGCATAAATGTGCCATTCCTGCTGATTCACAATCTACCCATGTCTAAAGTGAAAAGAGATTATTTGGATCTAGGTACATTGTTACTAACTTTTTACGGTCACCTTAAAAGTATGCATCCAAACACAGGAAATAATTTATCTTTAAGTGATTTATCATAGAGATCATCTTTAGTTCAAACAGTTGTTAAAATAACCTTTAAAACAATGGCTGTTCAACTATGAATTATGTCCATTTTAAGTAATTTCATATACTAATATGCAATAACGTATTTCTGCAAAAGAAGCGAAAGAACAGATGCAATATGAAGTTGTGCGAGATAATGTTTGATTCGCAGTGATGCTTTAAAGTAGTATTTTCAGGTTTTGATACTGTACTATTTTTTCAATCGTACAGCTTGTTTTTGTTGGTTTTGTGTATATACTTTTAATGAAAGGGTTAAAAGCATTAAAACCTATTCTACATAGTTTTCTTACTGAGTAGGACATGCTGCAAATAGCAGAAAGAGGAAGTTACGTGTCAGATACATCTACCGGTTTAGGTAAAAGGAAATTTTTTTCATTTTGCATATTTTAGTGCCCTACAAGTTCTTTGGTCTGCTTGTTTTTGAAAAAATATTCAGAGATTTCCTACTAAGGGATTCAGGAGAAGAACAGAGAGCCTTATTTATGAGAGGAGGTTGAAGAATTTGGCTTTTTGGGTCTAGCAAAATGCTGAAGAGGGATATGCCTGTTATTTAAAAGGGCATTAAAAGGTACAAATATCAAGGAAAGAGGAAAATAAACTGAAGAAAAACGGTTTTACACTAATATGAAGAAAAACTGGAGATTAGAAGGCTTCTTGCTATAAAAGGGGTAATATTCTGGAATAACATTCCAGTAGGAGAAGTGGAGGCACAGCGTAACTCGGAGCATGATCGATTTATGAAATAACTGATGTATTTGCCTGCACTGAGGGGGACATCTTGGGATCCAGAAGGTTCCTTCCTGCCTCATACAACCACCTTTGCCACAACGCTGCTAAAGATCGAGAAGCATTGGTTTTTAGTTGCAACTCTGGTTTACCTTTTTCTTTTTGTGCTCTGCCCCTCTCTGGCTACGATTGCTGTGGGGGTGACTGAGGGAGTGGAGGCAGTAAGGAGAAACACCTTACCCTGCCAGATGAAACTGTAATGACGACAGGCCGTGTGGGATTGGTGTGCAGGACTCTGCCGGTTGTGTGGAGACCTGGCTGTCACAGTAGGCTAAATGTCAACGGGCGTGTGGTAAAATGAAGTAAAAATGTGTGACAGGTAGAATTTCTTGAAGTGATTGTAAATAGTTTCTTGGACAGGAAGGGTTGGGAGGACAACTAAGGCAAGCTTCTGAAGTATGACAGAAATTTGGATGTGCTCTTTTTTTAATTGCCTCTTGCTGCTCTTATTGATCTATTATCTTTTCATTGATCACTTCAGAAAAAAGGAGGAGGAATTTAGAATTGATACCTTTAACGGCGCGGATGGTTATGACTCACCTGGTGAATCACCTGAGCCACTACCCGCTCAGCGGAGGCCCTGCCATTCTCCACAGTCTCCTTAGTGAGAACCACGACAACTCCTACGTCGAGTCCTCCGAGCTGTCCTCAGAAGTCTTCCGGAGTCCCAACCTGCAACTCTTTGTGTTTAACGACAGTACTCTCATATCTTACCTCCAAATCCCCGCAGAGAAGACGACAGACACTGAGCCAGCAGCCACCCCCTCGGACGTAAGGGTAATTGTCCGAGATATCTCAGGGAAGTACTCTTGGGATGGCAGAATATTGTACGGACCTTTAGAGGGCTGCCTTCCGCGGCAGAGCGCAACGAGTGCGTTTGTCATCTCAGGCAACCCTGAGCACCACTTTATTTCCCAGAAAGACATTTCTCAGGTGGAAGAAGGAGAAGATGCTCTTGACCAATTGCTGGAGAAGATTGGTAACAGCAGTCCTGAGTGCCTTTTACATCCCCAGCGAAAGCTGAATGAGCCATCGCCACCACCCTTTGGTATGAGCTACGACCAAGAGAACGCAATCACCGAGGCCCTGATGAGGCAGAGCGCCCAGGAAAAAGAGCATATATTTAAATGCAACTCGGACTTCAGTATGAAGGTGGCCCGTCAAGAACCACCACGTCCTGCTGAGCCTCAAGCGTCTTTTTATTTCTGTCGGCTGTTGCTGAATGACTTGGGAATGAACTCCTGGGACAGAAGGTAGGAAGAGAGGATTCAGAACATGTTTACAGTACTCTTGCTCTTCTCACTTCTACCCCCAAACGTGTACACACTTAACAAAGCGAGCTGGGTGGTAGTCAGAGCATAAGAGCATACTTTTGAACTTTTACATATACCCGCTTCAGTGATTATTTTAAATAGACGTCTGCAGATTGTTTATAATAATCATAATTAAAAAATCATTTGAATCATGCTAATTTGATTCCCTTCTCTTAGGTATTTGAATGAGAAAATACTGCATCTATACTGTATTGCATTTTTCCTTCAAATCTTTTTTTTTAATACGTTTGTAGAAAAAGCTTTCATCTTCTTAAGAAAAATTCAAAATTACTACGAGAACTGAAAAATCTGGATTCCCGCCAATGGTAGGTAATGTTTACTAAACACACCATTGATAGGGTTAGTATTCCCAAAGAAAGAATAAGTACATCACCAAAACCAAAAATTAATTAAAAATGCATGTGCTAGCAATACAAATATTGGTGTGAAAAATGGATTGTTTGTTTCTGAAGAGTTCTGGGGCCTGAATGGACAAGCAGTTTTCGTTGCACTATATGCATAGAGTTCAAAGTCAGTAGCAAATTGGAAGAAGACACAGCAGCCTCTTTCCTGTTTCCTTTAGCTGAGAGGGGAGGGAAGAAGTCCCAAAATTTTTCATGATCTTGGCTTAACTCACATAAAGGACTATTTTCTGCAGCACAATCCCTGTGTCAAGAGCAGTATTTTAAGGAGTAATCTCTATACAACTACTCCACAGCCAGATAGTGGCAGAACAGAGTTCTAAACATTATGTTTTATTTTTCATCACTTGACATTTCGAATAGCTATATGTCTGCAGCATTGCAGAGTCCTGATTTTCTTGTGTCCCAGCAATTTTCATACCAAATCCACTAAGCTTGTTTTCAAAGAAGCCAACTGTCACTGTCAGCTTATGCAAAACTCAACTCAGGACCTGAAAGTCAATAATATTTTTCCTTTCTTATGTATCATCACCCTATAATTAAAATTCTGTAGGTCAAATTATGCTCCCATTAACACCTGTGCAATCTTACTGTCTTTGGCAAGGTTGCACAGATGTAAGTGATTAACCAGGTAATTGAACTTGGTCATCAGTTCTTTTGCTGATGCAAGCAGGGAATAGACAGCTCTGCTCCCTGAACTGTGTTGTCTGCAGTGTGGTCATGGGGGAAAAAATGGTGAAAATACATTTCTGTGACTGAAATTGAGTGATGTATTTGCATAAAAGAAGTGGACAAGTTGAACATGGTCACCTGTTCATAGATTTTGCGTGCAGGTGATCTAAAAAATAATTGTGAGCTGAAACTTCTTTAACTTTTGTTTCTATCAAATTACAGCCGTGAAACTCACAAGATTGCAGTGTTTTACATTGCAGAAGGACAGGAGGACAAGTGTTCAATACTGTCCAATGCAAGGGGAAGCCAGGCATATGAAGATTTTGTTGCTGGACTGGGCTGGGAGGTAATACTCATAAATTTAGGCAAGCTAACATACTTGAAGACCTGCGAAAATCAATGTAAGCTGGTTAAAATAGGTAAATGGAAAACAAACTGCTTCTATCACTGCATATTTTTTAATTATCAAAACAAAAGAGATAAATTTTAATGCACACTGATATTTAGCAGTACTTAAAAGATCGCCTTTTTAGCAGAATTCTGTAAATCCACATGCTACTTCTGGATGAATGTAACCTTCCTGTTCCTGTTGGACGGGTTGTGCTGCAGTGGCCATTCCTGCTTTCTGCATTATTAAGAGCTATAGCATAATTTTACCTTAATTTTATGTGGTCTGACCACTTACCCAATCACAGGACTGCATTGTGAAGGACAAAAATGATTGGTTTTTAGCTTGCATTATTGAAATGGTGTGTCAGTAACCTAAATGACATGAATATTTATGTTTATTAGAAATATATAATAGTTGCGTTTCGTGTTTGAAGATTTAAATGGCACAAGGTCTACAGGGAGAGTTAGCATCCTCAGTTTCACTGATGCAGTTGGGAAAACAAACGAGCTTTTGGATGCAGGCTTGTCTTCAGAGAGGCATTTCTTCTAAATAATCTTCTAGAATAATTTCTTTTAAGGTTTTTCTTTTTGTACATATCTTCAATTCCGTTTGCAATTTTTCTGATTGTTTGTATTTTCTCTGTACTTTATTGTTATTTCTTATGGTGTATGCTATGAGTGGGCTTGTTAAGCCACGCACAGCCCTTAGAGCAGCTGTGCACGACAGAATGCTTTTGCTTCCTTGCTGCTGTTTGCTGGAAGGAAGGTAAAATAGCCACGTAGATGGCGACCCAGTACCTAGCTGAGAGATGTTTATTTTTAGTAAATGTCAAGTACAGGAATGGGAAACACAGATCTGATGCAAAGATCACAAACCGGCAGGGGAAGACTTCTCTTTCTCTGAGATGGCTACAGAATTCTAGAGTGGTAAATTCACCAGGTCTTGATATATAAATAAATACCGATTATTCATCAGTCTCTTAAAGTTATTTCTAATTATGACTTTCAATCAATCAGGTTGATCTTTCGACACATGGTGGGTTTATGGGCGGCCTGCAGCGCAATGGCAGCACAGGACAAACAGCACCCTATTATGCTACATCTACTGTGGAAATCATTTTTCATGTGTCTACAAGAATGCCATCAGATTCAGATGATTCACTGACCAAAAAGGTACATAAATTGCTGTGTATTTCAAAACGTTGTCTGTAGTCTTCAAGTGCTTAAATTAAACTTTAAACTGAAAACAGATTGTGCTAACTGGTCTTAACAGGCCATCTTTGCTGTGCCACATGGTGCTCTGCAGCTAGATTATCTGAATTAAATGGCAGCTAAATTCTGGATTCTGAAACACAATTAACATTTCCATGGTAGCCTCAAATACCACCATTAGTAATAATATTAGCAATAATTTCATTTGTATGTTGTCTGCCTGCCAAAACTGTTGTAGTTTGGTAGAACAAAACAACCAAATGCAGCATAATAAAACCTTACAAATAATTTGTCCAGTGTGTAACAGAAAAGAAGTGAAAGAGAAGTGACAAGCATAGTACCAAAAGCAGCCAGCTGATACTTGAAGCCATTATCCAGTTATTCACAATTCTGACAAGCAGACTCTGCTTCAAAGATGGCCAGATCCCAGCCCAAAATTTTATTGGTATCAGTACTTAATCATTTGCCTTTCCTGATGAGGAATGATTTGAGACTATGGTGCTTGCCAACTGCTGCTTAGAGTCAAAGAATATTTTAGGTGCATACCAAAGATTTGCCTTTTTAATCAGCATTGGCATCTTGTCCTACATAAATTGTTAATGTGTGTTAATAATGCTACTACGGCTGTCCAGTCTACCATGTGATGCTATTGTGCTCTGAAATTTATCTATTAAAATGTCACTGGGTGATTGTATTTGTTGTCCAGTTAGTTTCAAAATAACATGTGCTGCTGCTTGAAATAAAAGGGTGGAATTTCTCATTACCGGTCCTGAAAACTTGCCTGGCATTTAATAGTAAAGCTAGATCCCTTCTTTTTTTATTGTGATATGTAATTTGAAAAAGTAGTCAACAAAATTATGTGTTTCTCTTCATGTATGCAACTTATTATCTTCATATTACTGGATTTACATGGCTATGGAAAAAAAGTAATCTGAGTACTTTAGGGTAAAGAAGTGGGGCTGTGGTACATATTAAGAGGCTGTGTAGTCTCTATCACTTTACCAAGGTAGGACTCTTTGTATTTTCCTTGTTCCTGGCCAGTATTTATCTAGCTGCTAGTTAAAAACTCCACTGATGAATGCTTTACAGTTTTCCTAGGGAACATATTCCAATGGTCCACTTTCTGCACCATGAGACAATTTGTTGTAGCATCTACTTTGCTTCAATTTAAGCCCATTTATTCTTCTCCATATCCATGTGGAATAGGGTAACAGATCATTTTGCAGCAGACTTACTAATGTTTGAGAACTGCTACCATGTCTTTCCCATTCTTATTTCTCCTACACAAATTGTCGTTTAGTCTAATCTTCCCTTGTAAGTCAAAGCTCCTGGGTTTTATGGAAGCCTAGCAAAGGTAGTGAAATACCTTCTAGCTGTTGAGTAATACATCACCTCAGAGAGAAGAGAGCGCAGTCTGACAGAGCTACCACAAGGGGAAAAATGGGTTTCAATTGCAAACGGTCTATTGTACTAATTCTTCTAATTCCCACCCACGTTAGGGATTAACACAGACATGGAGAGAGTCTGGTTATTCTATTTAATTGTCTTCCCTACGTTTGCTTTAAGAGTATTTCTTTGTGAGAAAGAAAAAGCAAAAGCATTTAGTAGTTGCCAGCCTCCAAGTCTTGAAGCGCTAGGAAACAAGGCCAGCCCCAGTACATATTATCTACAGAAAATACTGCAAACCAATTGCTTTAAGACTTTAAAAAAACCTCTTAATTCTGCTATAGGAACGGAACCTTGCAGGGATCAAACTGTATATTCCTGTAAAGGAGGCCAGAGCTCTGAGCAACCTAATGGAACTCGGGAGCTGGCTCCGCTGTAAGCGGTGGGTTGGCCCAGGTGACTTCCAGAGGTCTTTTTAAACGTATAATCTTCCATGGTTCCGTGCTTCTGCACAAAACAATTTAATTTAATTTGTCACAGCTCTTCTGTAAACAAGCAAGTATTTCTGTGCAAATTAGCATAGACTTCTTCACAAATTTTACAAAATAGCAGCTAAGAGTGGAGGCAAGATGTATTTCAGAAGTGCTGTAAAATTTCTGGAAGATTGATAGTTCTCTCATTCTTTGAAAACGCTGATGGATGAACTGGCCTGCATTTGAAGCCACTGTTTTAAGCATGAGCATAAATCCTCACCATTTCTAAAGACAACATTAATCATCCTGCAAGAACTCTCGTAAGACAAAATGTGTCAGCTTCTTCAGACGTCACTCGCGCACCTTAGCTGCAGGAGCCCTGTGCTGGAATACCGGATGGCAAGTACATCCCTGCTTCAGTGAGAAGCTTCTCAGGCCACATATGTCCCACGTCGATTTTGGCAGCCTTTGCGTGTGCAGACCACAAGTGGTGTGTGAGCTGGAAAAGAAACATGTGCCTGTCTGCGACACACTCTTAACCAAGAGGGAAATCTATTTATTTTCCCTCCCCGGCCAATACGGTGCTTGGGAATTCTGCAACACCTGGTTAGCGGTTATGATCAAATGCATTGTTGCTTCCGAGACCATGGCAACGCTCAAGATCATCGCAAGTGTTTTAATATTTCCACTTGCTCACTGAACAGTTAGTACGTGCTGGACCAAAGTCCTCACCTCAGATTATTGGGACAGTATGTCCGGGTTAAAAAGATTATATTTATTACTGCTTTCCATTAAAGCTGCATTTTCAGAGCAGTGTGTGAGAGGAATGCACATTGCGATGTTGTCATTCAGTACCTGCTCTGCTTTCATTTTTGCTGCGACAGAGCATTATGTGGTGATAGAGGCCAATATTGCTGGGAAGGCAAAATTTTATCCTGTTGCCACTCCAGATGCAGTGGGAGCCACAACTTTTTTCTTGCTTTCCCCTTGCTTCTATCAGATAGTGATGCATTGATACTACCTGGGATCTAAGGTCCCCCTTACCTCTGAAATCTTTGTCATTTCTGTGGTTTCTTCTCTGCTTATTTTGCCTACAGACAGGCAAAAAGAATTCAATACCAATCAGCGTGCTTGGCTCGCAAGCTCTGGAGCTGAACAGAAGGTCTTACCACCTGCTGGCCAAGGAAGTAGTACAGCAGGCCATAAATCCTGTGGGCTGGGGAATTAAGCAGATGCAGTAATTTTACTTAAATATGTTATTATGGTTCTTTATTTTTACTGAACGCAAGAGGATGAATTAATTTCTGGTATGAATTCACAAGAATAAGTGCACTTCCACTGAGGATGAACTTGGCCCCTTATTTTTGTGCAGTACAGTTGTAATTTGCAGTTTGTATTCTTGTGTTTGACATATATGCTGACATATTATATTGTTCATACAGGGAGAAAAAAGAAAGAAATAAACCTCTCCAAATAAGTCTTAGCCCTGCAAGAAATCTTTTTTTAGTGGAATAATCAAAATTCAGCTGGTATCTTTTGCTGCTGTAAGGTTTAGCATCATTGGTTCTAAACTTTTTTTTATCTGACTGTCTTGTGACAAGAATGAAAATCAATCATAGTAACAGCATCCTACCGTCCCCTGTCTTGTTCTGCCTAAATTGTAGCTAGCGGTTTCAAAATGAGCTGCAAAATTTTTAAGTGATTTATTCCATCTTCTCTATTGTCCTAGCAGAACTTTTTCAATTCAGCAATCTGGTTGCAACCCCATACTGAACTCTTGCTCCTTCGCTGCAGAAATTTGTTAGCTAGAGCTAGATTAGATTTTTAGCAGCTAATCTAACTGCTGTAGGGGTTTGCAAAGTGGGGACAGAGCTGTGCTATTGGATTTGTCCAATTCATTTGACTCCAGGACTATAATTGCACTTATGTCTTACAAGGCTTTTATAGCCTAGGGCTGGCGAGCAGCAGAAAAACAAATTGGCAGTGATACAGTAAGAGTGAAAGGGAATGAAAGGCGCACATTATCAGTCTCCAGGCAGCACTGTTCTGGCAGGAAGTTTCTTGGTTAATTTACAAATAAAACTTAGATTTTAGGATGGGTACACTGTCAGGCAGACAATGGGGATGTCAGGCCCGACTGTTACTTAGCAAAAGTAGCAGCCATGCCTCCCCAAAAGCAGAAATTCTTCCGTCAAACAGACGACCCCTCTCTGGAGCCAGCTGGCTGTGTAATGCAATTAGCAGGGAAAGGAGGTCAGGCCACGAGGTGTGTACCGTGACCAGTGCCGGGGCGGCGTGTTGCCTGGCAGGCAGCGCGCAGCCCACCCCGCGCGGGGACCCTGGAAAACTTACTTGCTCAAGCGAAGGGCGGCGGCGGGGCCGGGCCGGGCGGCCTGGGGGGTGCCGGCCGCGCTCCGAGGCCCGGGTTGGGGCTGAGGAGGCGCAGGGCGGACACGGTTAAGGGCGGCGTGGCGCGCCTCGGGAGCCATCCACTGCCCCCGCTCCCGGGCGCCGGGCGCTCAGCGTAGCTGCGACACCAGGCCGTGGCTGCGTCTCAGCGCGTGCGGCTGGGGATGTCTGTATTTTGGTCCTGTTAGCAAAACTGCTCTCCTTAGGTGCCGGCTCAAGATTCATGCGCTCGCAGCTCACTCGGGGAGGAGAAGCAATTGCGATTTCAAGAGCTGCCTTCCCTGAACAGTTGTAGAGATCATGCAAGTCAGCAAGAAACCTAAAAAAATCTGACTGCTTGCAGTTGACTTGTTCCATTGTTTGTGTTTCCTTTATAATATTCATCTTATTTCCTGGCTGCTTTGGGATTTTTTTTTAATGCAGTATTTTTTTTTTTTTTTTCCTTCCCCCACCCCTAACTGTATGGAGAGCTTAGCATGGGACTCTGGCTCCAAATGCATCGTCTGTGTTGCTTTGGACGTTTAGGCAAAACTTGCAGATGCCCTTCAGGCTGCTGAGTCTACCCCACAGCTTGTCTTTTGAATGAGCGATACAGGAAAATAACAGCTGGTTTATTGTCACTGAGAAGATTATAATAACGTTTTTTATCAATGAAATGGATCTTTCAAGAACAAATGTGTTTGATTAGTACCAATTTTGTATTTGTAACATTATACCTTATAAATGCAATGAATGTATGACTTCAAAACAATGACAGGTAGTAACTCAAGCTTTAAAATTAGTTACTAGCATGCGATGAGGATTGTTGCAAAGGTAGTAATTTATTATCTCACGATGTTTGCAAGATTTTGAGCTCATAGCCATCACTTCCTGTCTGAAACAAGCACAGCAAGCCTCAGTTGGTCTAAATTCTCCCTGTTTACTGAATTTTGATCTGTTGGATGTGTTATGTGTTTTGGGATTCTTCAGTATGAAAAGTATTTTAATATTATCCAAGTAGTTCCTTGTGATTTAAAAAGGGTCTCTTAAGCGGTATTTGGACATATTTTGATTGCCATTTTTATAGCTGTACGTGCTATTTATCACTCCAAAAGCAATAGGAGGCAAGGCAGGACAGAGCCTTTTCTTCACGGTTTGTTTTTGTAGAAAGAGCTGTGTTCAGTTTGTGAATTGCCCTGTGCAACTGGACAATTAATTGTGTCACCTTACAGAATTGTTTCCGTATTTATTTGTTGGGCTTTTTAAAGCAGAGGTTGCTAAATACTGCCGTTGTGAGCTTTCTCTGTGCTGCAAAGCCAGTGCCAGCACTCACTCTAGTATCAGGATGAGCTGGGTTCAGCCTGATAAATCGTGGGCGCTGTGTACAAATGCATCGCCGTTGGGCTGCTCTGAATACAGCTGGTGTGAGCTGGGTCCTCCCTTCGCTCAGCTTTCAGAGAAAATGACAGCTCGGCTTCGACTGTGTGCAGAGTAGCCCTGCCAAACACTTAGATCCTTGGTGTGTATAACCTGTTGTGCGTCAAGTCTGGTAGCCAGACGGATTTGGGGGGTTTTTAAGGCTAAACTTTGCATCTTGCTCTCAGTCACTTTTATGGTGACCTAGCTGCATCTGTTGCCAGAAAGTGAAATCAGGATTCTGTCATACAGTGAATGGCTGTGTGGTTTTGTATGAATCAGTCCGCACTGTGATATTATTAACATAAGTATTTTCTTGGATGTTACTTTATTATTACTGAGCAATTAAGAAAATACAAGGGAGTGCACAGAAATCGGGACGACCATGAGAACAGTAATTTGTACTGATTTTTGTACATGTGAGAAGCTGTAGTAATAGCATTTTGTTAACGTTTTCATGTTGTTATAAAACATAGGTGGTTTGTACTTTCTTCAAACAGAATTAAAAATGTCTTTTATTGGTAGGTGTAAATAAAATACAACTCCGTCTTCTCAGTTTGTTTTAAATGAAACAGAATCTAAGTATGAATTTAGCTTTATTTTACTCTGCTAGAGTATAAACTGTAAGCAAAGTTCATAGTTTAAACTTCTTGATTCTCATAATGCATTATGTTTTTGCCATGTTTCTCTTAGAACTAGGGTACAGGTTGCCACCCAATATGTAGAAGTGAAAGTCTTTAGTTGTAAAGGTGCTCCCTGGCTCTGAAGAGAGAAAATGCAGTGGTACAATATAGGCTGATACAAGGCATGTTGAGATCACTTGGTTGTTATTTACCAATGAAAATCGCTACCTCTATTTTTTTTCTTTCTTTTTACTTCTTTTTCTTTTCCCCCTGCACAGAGACAGCGAAGAAGGCAGAGCTACGTTTTGGTTTCTTTGTTAGGTCTATTGTGCACATTGTTCTAGGGGCTAGCACCAAATTGGGCGGGGGGGGAGTGTTTTAAGCTTTAAGTGGGACTTAAATTCTCTTTATGCTTTGGGCTGGCATTCTGCATGTGGATTAAATTTTAACTTTAAAGCTTACAGTTGAAACTATTGTGTGTAGCTTGTACATGATTGCCAAATACTTTTTGCCATCTGTTAGATCACCTCCAGTTCCTCCAATAACAAAGCAAACACAGAGGCTTTCAGATGCATTTTGTATATGTCACATTTAAATTTTATCCATATTTTGTGCAGCTCTGCTCCAAATAAAAAATTAACTCCCATAGTATTTCCCATTCTCTAATTCACGTTGCCCATATATTTTGCTTACGATTTCAAACAAAAGTACTCTCCAGACGGGGTCAGCAAGGACATATTTGTAATATAATAAATTCAGGAATAGTGGTTCACGGTGGAAAGTTTCTTGACACTTTGAGTCAAGGCATTTCTTATTTCTGTGACAGCTACCTCATTTTACCTAGAATATGATGTTCTCTTGGATAATGTTTTGTTCTAGTAATTCAGATTTCCATCTTAAATTATTGTAGGTAATGTACATTTACATATTGTGCTAATGGCTAGTTTGATAATTACTTAATTAAGCCATCAGACAACAATGAGTTCTGAATGAAGCAAATTATTTAGCTGATCTTTTCATGAGCAACTGGATAAAAACAATATTTTAACTTTTTCGGTAATGAAATATTTCTACTATTGAGCATTGTAATTCAATTTGTAAGCCATGACCCCTCATAAACTGTTGTTATCACTCTGATTAATAAAGAGCCAATTTGTTGTTGCAGCTTCGTCACTTGGGAAATGATGAGGTTCACATCGTCTGGTCTGAACACACCAGGAACTACCGCAGAGGCATTATACCAACAGATTTTGGAGATGTTTTAATTGTTATTTATCCAATGAAGAACCACATGTTTTTCATAGAGATAATGAAGAAACCGGAGGTATGTTTTGACTGCTTTATTGGATCTATGGTACGTGTTATGCAAGTGACCAACAGTTTTGTTGCTTAAAGAAAGCTCAGTGGCTTAGAGCTTGGGGTTTGTTTTGGTTTGTTTGTTTTTTGTTTTTTTGTTTTTTTGGTTTTTTTTTCCAGCAAATACAAAATATAGTCTATCCATGTCAGTTTAAAAGTATGCTGAGCAATGAGCTTTTATTTTAAAACTGGAATTATTAATTGCAATCAAAACGGCCACTAATTAATTTTATATTCATGTTTAGCGCTTAAAGAAATATTTCAGAATTCTCAACCTATAGGAGTTACTGTACAAAAAACAGTATTTAAAATCATTGTGAATTTCCAATGTGAGGCAATAAAAGCAAAATAATAAAGGTAGAAGTTCCTCATTTGCTATTAATTTGCCTCATACAGCTTGGTTACTGTTGTACATATGGTACGGTGTATAACCTCATGTGTTTTTGAGACCGTCATCATAATCTGACTCGGTGGGATGATGTAGGCATTGGATATCCTTACATCAAACAAAATATTTGAGGTTTAGTATTTTCTGTTTAAATCATTGTTATGCAACCACGTTTTAGACATTTTTTGGAAAGAATGGATTTTTTTTTCGCACAATGTCAGGGGTGTGTGCATGTCCATGTGTGCACATGTATAAAAAAGCTGCTTTGCTAAATGCTTCTCTGGTACATTATGGATGCAAAAATGTATATGAGCTGTACTTTAAGAAAGTAATCAGTGTGATAAATACCATTTCCCCTATAAGAGGGACAGTATTTGTCCAAAAGAATAACCAGCTGTGGAAAAATGCATACATCAGATGACATGTTTACCAGCTGTTTACAATATTTTTTGAGTTGTGAATGACGGAGCTATTGTGCCTTAACAGCCAGTGGTTTGGCAGCAGACATTTCAAACTTGAAATTTTTTTATAGACCAAAATAGTGTGTGTTTTCCTACACTTGAGTTTGAGCTCTGCAATTTACTACTTGGGAATTTTAGCTTTTACTGTTCCATCAGGAAAATCAGAATTCAGTGTTATGAACATGCTTGAAAATTCTGTGAACCAATAGAGAAAAGCTATGTCATCTTACATATTAGTCAAAAATACCCAACGGGCAGAAAGAATAATAGCTAACTGGAAATTTAGTGTTATCCCTACATTTAAAGTACAAACCATTACAATGTAATAAAATTAATCCAGACATTTCCAGGGCAAGTGTGGCTGACCTTTTGTTCACCAGCTACTGACCTCAGGGTGAATGAAAGAGGCTTGCAGAGAGAAATGTCTGTTGTTTGGCTTCAGTCCCTGGTATTTAAATTGCATTCCCTAATCAAATGAAAAGGCTGTCCTCTCTATCAGGTTACAGAATCCATGGCAACATTTGGCCTTTTATATACATAATGTTAGCCTTTTTGTTTGCATCTAAGTAGAGACACCTGGAGCAATGTTAACATTAACCGATTTAGCATTAATAGCTTCATTATATAAGAATTTCTGATCAGATAGCTGTTACTTTTGTTATATTGCTTCAGCTTGTATTGTTTTCATTTTTTATCTCCCTGCTTGGCAACCGGGCAATGATTTGCAAATTTTTTTTGTCTTGATTAATTAAGCAATATAATTATCAGGAACCGTGATGCAGTCTTTGCTCGACAAAGCTTCTGAGAGAAGACAATAGTAAGTCTGTTAGTGTGAATGCATTCCACGCGTCACAGATGCATGAGGATATTCTGAACAATGAGACGAAAAGCTGCCTGCAAAAGAGGACAAAGAATGCCAGGCAGACTCTACACACTGCACATACCGCCAGGGACATACTGCGGGTTCCCTGGGACACAGATGCCTCGTTAGATTGCAGCTAGTCATCAGAGATTAATTCTCAGCCATTTGGTACAATAATTTACCCATTCCCCACTCTTTTAACTAGTGCTGCTTGCTATAGAGGGGAAGTCTTTGTGCTCAAAAGGTTTATTTAACCTTGCCTACTTTTACTGCGTGCAACAGAAACAATTATTTTTTTCTTGGAAATTGTAATGAAGCAGGTGTTTGCAGTGGGCTGAATATTAATTTTTGTTTCATGGATAACTTGCGTTGACGTTTGAAGCACCCAAGGAAGCGGATATTTACCTCTGCTATTTTATTTTTTCTTTTTTAATTGTCAAAGCGTCGTGTCTTTTTTGTAACCGCTCAAAACCGTGTTTTCCTCCAACGCGTATTTAATAGCAACTTACAGAAAAGTACTGAGCAGGGAGCACGTCCCCGCGTGCTCCGTCGCTCTCCCCCCTCGAACTCCTCGTTCAGGCAGAGCCCCCGACACAGATGGAAGCTGACGATATGCGAGTTCCATTGACTTTAATGACCCTCGGCACGGCCGGTAGGTCTGCTCGGGAATTAAGAATTCCGAGCTTTGTGTCCACGCGGGGGCCCGGCCCGGCCCGGCCCGGCCCGGCTGCACACCCCCCATACCGCCCGGCGGGGAGCAGCGAGGCCGGGCAGCGACGCCTTCCCTGCTCTCCGGAGGGTTTGGGGCGGTGGGGAGCCGGGCTGGGGCAGCGCTGCGCTTGGGCGCGGTTGCGCTTGGTTTTCTATGGTAACGTGAAATCAGTCGCTCTCGTACAAAGCCATCCTTTGCATTATTTTCTTTTTTTTTTTTTTTTCTCCCCATCTGCCGCTGCGTACCGACTTTGGATTGTGACAAACGTGTGCGTTTTGACAAAACATGTGCCTAGGACGCAGTTCAGGGAATGATCTGTTTGGTTATTTGAAACACGCTTGAAAAAAGCGTGTTTCCCAATTGCATGGAAGTCACGCCGAAGAGCCCTCACTGCACTCCTATCTCTACGGCACGGAGACAGCTCCGGGATGCTACAGCAAGCTCTCAGTTTTCAGGGCTCACCTTCATTAGCCTACTTTGCTGCTTAAAAGGAGTTTGAGAGGAAAGTGTGGTTAATTGGAATTTGGCTATTAAACTTTCATAGAAAACAATTATCAAACTTTTTGTTTTAAAATGTCAGACAGATTGGAGATTTTTGTTGGTTAATTTTATGGAGAGGGCCCACTGAAAGATTTTTTTTTTTTTAAATGTGAGCGTATGTATATATGTGTATGTATTTAAACACATATAAGGTGTATAAAATATACACCCCTTGACTATATTTTGAGTATATACATTCTATAATAGTGTGTTAAGCAAACCTACCACACTATCTGGACTCCAGGTGGTTTTGAAACAGTGAAACAAAGTCATGTAAGCAAAAACTGCTTGTCCAAAAGCCTGACAATTAATTTCCCTGTACAGCAGCATATGTAAGTGCTAATCTGACTTGGAATATCTGCTATTAGTATGTTGACATAATTTTAATACTAGTAGGTACTTAACCTCCTTATTTGTACTTATATAAAAATAGTTTTACATTTTTTTTCCTCCGTTTGTCAATACTTGTAAACAGAGTATGTGTTTAAAATTTCACTTAGAAATGTTATCACTTAGAAGGAAAAAAGTGATGATCTACAAGATTATCACTTTGGTGGCATAGATTTTCTTCCTGTTACCTTTCTTTCCAGCTGCCTAGATAGAAATGCCAGCATAAAAAAAAAAAAAAAACAAAAAAAAAAAACAAACAGGCATAAACCACTGTGGAAACATTGTACACTAATCTGTTTTTGGGGGGGTGGGTAATTTATTTTAAGTAAAGGAATGACAAAATAACTGTGTGAAAAGACAGCTGTCATTTGCAGATGTTATATTAAAACCAAATTTCTTCTGTAATTCATTGCCACTTCTAATTAGAGGAATTCCCTAGATACAGGGGATTTATATTATTCCCTTTGTCCATTTATTGAATGACTGTCACAGTCACCCACAAGCAGTTGCGGAAGAATAATAGAGGGTATTTATTTATGTGATAAGCCTCTGTACAGATGGAAAAAATCCATAGCTTAAATATTGATAATTGCTGCTAGCTTCTGTTTAGGGTTTTGGTTGGGGTTTTTTTTCATTTTGAGTTTCTGAAAGGGAAAAGAATTTGACTACTCTAAATACGAAAATTTATTATATGTTTAAACATTTTGACATGGCAAAGTCTGTTATGTGTATGAAATTCTGGACTATTTTCACTTTTTATATAGTGTCTCTTTTACCCTGTCTAGCCTTTATCTGAGGAGCCGTAGGTCACCAAATGACATTATGTGGTGGTTTCCTCTGGAGGTAACCCTGAAGGAGCAGCGTTTTAACACCTTGACATGCTGTGCCGGGATAGACCTGTTCGCGCCTGTCCCAGCCGCGTTTGCGGGGGGCTGCCTCTGAGAGGTGGTGGTTTTCCACCATCTCCTCTGCTTTTCCATAGACCTCGTTATCTCAGATCAGGGATCAGCACAATGTTTTGTCTTGGTTTTACTTTTTTCATTCAGTGAAGTCCATGGAAGGAGTTTACAGAGGATTATTTGAAACAAATACTTCTTTGCAAAAACTCCTGACAGTGTCAGATTCAGCCAGTGAATTAGGATGTCCTGTTGGGTTGCAAGACAGAAAACAGCTCTTAATATCTACTCAAAATGGAATATGGATTTCAAATTGATAGATGAATTTGCTTCATATGTATAGCAAGCTCACGTTTACCCAGTTGAATATTCTGTGAAATGTGCACATACATGTAAAGTATAATGATACCAGTTACGGAAAATTTTAAAAACTTGAAGGGAAGAATAGGGGAATAATATCACACTGAAGGTTTCGGTGTGGAAAACAATGTGGTCATACTGTTTTATGGCAAAACAATGTACTGGTCTTCTGTAATGGGTCTGATGGTTATTATTGCAAATGTCAGTAACGTAGTGCAAGGTACAGACTGTTGTGCTAGCAAGGCTACCGCCCGACCGACCGTGCTGACCTGGCTGGTGGCAGCCCCGCCGCTACAGCCCGGGGAGGTGCTCTGTGTCTGTGTTCTTCTGCTGTACTTGGGGGACTCTCTTTGTGCCCATGATCTCGAGAGGAGGCCCTAGGGCAAGCTAACGCTTGTAACAGAGTAACTCCACTGTCTAGAGCAGGGCAGTGTGAAACATGCCTCCTCTTGCCTCCTTGGCGCCTTCCTCGAGCAGTAGATGCCTTGCTGTGAAAATCCCCCAGGAGTTGGGCATGTTGTTTTGGTCTGGGATTTTGGAAGTTGCTCCCGTGCTCTACACTAACCTTTCAGCTTCTGTTGGTTCAGCTTTACAAGCGTTGTTTTTATTTTGGGGTCCACAGGTGCCATTTTTCGGTCCTCTCTTCGATGGAGCAATCGTGACTGCAAAGCTGCTGCCAAGCCTCATATGTGCCACGTGCATCAATGCCAGCAGAGCCGTCAAGTCGCTCATCCCACTCTACCAGAGCTTGTATCCTTTCCTTCCACTGGGACGAGGCTCCCCTGGGTAGGGTTCTTAATTCTCGGTGTTCTTCTGCAGAGAGGTAAGCTTTAGTGAAAATCCTTCCTGCTTGGCTTTATTGGACAACATCAAAGCTTTCTTCACATCAGGCCCAGTGTTTTCAGTTGTTCACACCCAGTGGCCATCCAGTGTTTTCAAAATAAGATCATAACATCGCAAGAGTGTTCTCACCAGCAGCTTCAGTCTTGCTGGTGGTGGATTTGGGCCTGATGCTTTGAACTGTAAGTAACGCTAATACTCCATTTTCTTTCACGCTAATAGGAGTTACCTACAGTGTGTATTAGGCTAACACGCAGAGCTCAGTTGTATTGTTATCTTATTCAAAGAAGTAGTTCAATTGACTTTATTGGGACTCATTACATTAATAAGACAGATGGGATTTGGCCTCAGATACGGGTGTTGAATTCCAGTTTTATTCCAGCCATGTCTGTATTTGAGCATCTTCAGAACATATTTTCTAGCAGTTGCTGGAAGATACCTAGTTGGTATGCTTCTCTGTGATAGGAACTGTAGCACAGACTTTTTTTTATTCTTGTGTGATATACAGGCTAACAGCATTATTACTGGTTTTCACTTATCCTAGGATTTTCTCATAATGCCATAATTATGCTAGAAACACTTCATAGTTTTTGTTGATCATATCACTTCAGGACCAACACTCACTGCACTTAATTTTCTCTGGGTAGCTTTTGTTTTGAGTATTTTTCTAACCATATGACTTTGAGGAAGAGTTTGTAAATGAAAAGTTTTGATCTTCGAAAGGATGTTGATTAGGTAGGTTGAGTTGCACATATTTAAAACACAAAATATCCTCAAAATACTGGGGGGTTTTTTTTGTTTGTTTTTTGTATTTTTGGGGGTTTGTTTAAAGGCTAAATTTTATCTTTGCAAAAGTCATCAGAAATTAAAAGTAGCACTGTGGTTAAATAAATTTTTATTTTATTATCTTCATTGTGCACTCGCTTTAAAACAAAGACAGTTGGTGGTTATTGCGTAAGCAGTTGAATGCAGTACATCAGCTGCAAAACCGTGGCAGTACCTAACAGATGATTCAAAACTTGCCAGGTTTTCTACTTTTGTCTCATGAGAGAAATCTAGCTAATTACTGAAATTCTTCTATGCAGAATTTAGCTTAATCCATCTGCTTCTGTAGTCAATGTATAATAATAAAATAGCAATGCAGTAAAATTAAGGTAAGCATCAGAGGTTACAAGAGCAAAGAGACGGTGTTGCCTCTTACCGCCATCCCAGCGCCTCACCCTGTTGAGTGCATACACCAGAGTGCTCTGCCTCCCAGTCCTGCTCATCTTCTGGCTTTTGACATTTTGTGAGCAAACAGCCCTCACCAGCCTGCTGTGCTCCTGCTTTCCACCGGGGTCTCTCTCCGGGTCCCTCTTGTCCCCGGGGAAACATGAGCAGCACAAATATGATAGCACATGCCACTTCTCAGCATATGTTTGAGGTCTAGCTGAAACAGCATCTGTCCCCGGATTCTTTTCTTCTTTTTCTGTGCCTGTTTTTGCACCAACGATATCTGTAGTGAATCAACTGCCACTTGTCTGTTCGATAAATGGAAGTAGACTGAGAAACTTCTGAAACTGGACAAACATAATGTGGTGGGAAGATCCCCTCAGGATGAAACTGGAGTGGGAGAGAAAGCTATCCATAACTTTTATTATAGATAATGAAACACTTCAAGATATACTAAAATTCTTAATGAGCCAGAAATTGGAATGTAACTGTATAGATGTGTAAAGGTGGTGCTGGAACCTGTCCAATGCAGTAACACTGCTGTGTAGCTCCCAAAGGGTGCACACGCCGTGCGTGGCTTTGCTCTGGCGTCTGCTTTGCTAGCTGCTATGAGGAGACAGGAGTAAAGCAGACCCAGCAATTTAAACAGTAAGTGAAAGAGTTTAGTAACTTTGTAACAGTGGAGATGAAAATAAAGGTGAAATACCTCAAAAAATTTCACTAGAAAGGAGAAATAAAAAGCAATAATCCCAGAAGAGTAACAGGTGATGTTTGGCAGAACATCATCCATAACCTCACAGTTTGAGTGAGAAAAGCTTGTGTAAGGCAGAGCTGGGGAGTGGTCTGCCACTTCTGTTTGGGTCATGTTAAAAGTCAGCATCCGTAAGAAGGGTCGGTACCTAAAAATTGTCTCAATTCAAGTGTGGTCAGAGATCGACTGAACGCTTCATCTGGTGTAAATGGTGACGAGGCACTGAGTCTGTGGTGCTGGTGTTGGGGCAGCAGCAGGGTGTGAAATACTGACTGCTCCTTGCTCCTGGGGGGCAGAGCCCCCATGCTGGCTCTGAGGGGAGCAGACCCCCTGCTCCTTGCTCCCAGGGTGGGGCAGAGCCCCCATGCTGGCTCTGAGGGGAGCAGACCCCCTGCTCCTTGCTCCCGGGGGGCAGAGCCCCCATGCTGGCTCTGAGGGGAGCAGACCCCCTGCTCCTTGCTCCCAGGGTGGGGCAGAGCCCCCATCCTCGCTCTGAGGGGAGCAGACCCCCTGCTCCTTGCTCCCGGGGGGCAGAGCCCCCATGCTGGCTCTGAGGGGAGCAGACTCCCTGCTCCTTGCTCCCAGGGGGGGCAGAGCCCCCATGCTGGCTCTGAGGGGAGCAGACCCCCTGCTCCTTGCTCCCGGGGGGCAGAGCCCCCATGCTGGCTCTGAGGGGAGCAGACCCCCTGCTCCTTGCTCCCAGGGGGGGCAGAGCCCCCATGCTGGCTCTGAGGGGAGCAGACCCCCTGCTCCTTGCTCCCAGGGGGGGCAGAGCCCCCATGCTGGCTCTGAGGGGAGCAGACCCCCTGCTCCTTGCTCCCAGGGTGGGGCAGAGCCCCCATGCTGGCTCTGAGGGGAGCAGACCCCTGCTCCTTGCTCCCCGGGGGGCAGAGCCCCCATCCTGGCTTCCTCCTCGCAGGGTGTGAGGCAGGGAGCCGGCTGTGGTGCCCGGGGAAGCGGTGCCTGTGCGGGGTCGCGTGCCGGGGAGCTGGGGCAGCATCGTGCCAGCAGTGACAGCTGAAGTCACTTGTTGGGAAGTCTGTAAACTCCGGTTACAGCTGCACTTGTCAGGGGCTTTAAGGGAAGTGTAATCAGCCACAGAGATTAATTTGCATCTCAATTAGGAAGGAGTCAGGAGGAAGCATAGGGTCTGTTGCTGGAAGGTTGTGGAAGAAATCTCATCAGGCACAAAAGGCTCCCAAGTCTCGGTGCTCCAGCGAGTGGAGGACAATATCCGAGTCCAGTTTCCATGGGGACCAGGACCACAGAGCCGCGGGAGAATCTCGCTGTGCGCTGTAATCGCTTGGTCATGATGACATAAATTCCACTGTCGTACCCAAATACATTTTTCTGTTGGAAATCTCTGAAAACAAGGAAGGTAACTATGGCAGAGCACATCGGATTTTTTTTTTTTTTTGTAATCTGTTTTTTCTGTTTATGTAACTGTTACTGTTTTAAAGAATTCATTAGGGCAAGAGACACATTCATTAAAAAATAATTAACTATATTTAGTTTGAAGCCATTCTGGCTACAAGTTCTTCATATACATGTATGTATGCGATGGCATTACACAGGAACAAAACCAGGGTAGTTAACACATACTTCAGTTGCCTTTTGAATGGTTGAAGCTCCGTTGTCTCTGTAGCTGCTGCAATGTTTACATGGTCATGGGTGATTATACATTAGTATATGTTCAAAATAACCATTTTTTCAGGAGTGCATTCATTCTTGGTGCAATGAAGCATTGAGACTGAGAGGCTGCAGACTGTACTAATTGGTGCTCTCGCCATCCTTAAGTAACTGTTGAGTGCGAGGTAATGTGTTTTCAGCAGCCTCACCAGCCTGCTTTTTCAGGCAATAATTTTTTTTTTAAAGTATGCCTGTGTATTTTATGGAAATAATACACAATAAGAAGGCTTAAATTATATAAAACCAAGGAAGAAGAATATCTGAACTTACTAAAATTGTTGTATGAAAATGTATATATGCAAGTTTTTGAGAGCATTAAAGCCACCTTTTTATGTGCTGGGGAAAGGAAGGAGCAACTAATCTCACAGATGAGTAATTATGTGTCAAAACTGAAACTCCTTTTAAGTAAGCCCAGTTAAAGCAGAGGTTGCTAACTGTCCGCATTTGAGTAACAGGAGTTCATAAGCGGGATGCCTTAGGAGATGAGGGCAGGGATGAAAACAGTGCACTTGTAATCCGGTGCTTTGGTGCAGCACTTTGGTAACTGTCATTGGGTTGAGCAGGACCCTGAAGCAAGGGTCTGTTCTGGTTCCAGTAATATTAAGTATTTCAAAAAGTGGTAGGGGTTATGATATAAAACTGCATCTTTGTGGTCTCTTCCAGCTCACGTTAAATGAGTTGTGTGCTGGAAAGGATTTTTGAACACTTGTATGTTCTGGAGGCCCAGTCACCCTAAACTGCAGTAGTGCACATCTTTGGGAGCTGGTCTTACCTGTAAAGAGAAATACTGGGGATGAGGGAGAGACAGGGTTTGTGTTTCAGTCTTTATTATGGGTCTGATTTGCAGCTGATGTTTAAGCTGACAGTTTTAAGCTCAGGTGCTAGTAAACCTCCAATTATGAAAATATAACCAAGTCTGCAGGTGTCAGGCACTTCGGTTGGTCCATAATTTACTGTTGGTCTCCAAAAAGACTTCGGGATTTGGGGATAGTGATGTCTGAGCAAAAAGCTCTCTTTAGAATGCATAGGGAAATGCAGTTTTGATTACCCAGAATCCAGATTGTCTTTCAAAATGGTATAATTTCCTTGATTCTTGAATTAAATTGTTCATGTATAGGGATTTGTAAGCTGGTTTCAGGTTTTACCTATGAAATTTCATAACCAGGATGTATGTTCTTTCTCATCTCACATGTTTCATAAAAACAACCGAGGTAAACATTCTGGGTTCTTATATCTTTTATTATCTTTTTTTTTTTTT